TTCATTGAGAGTCCCATATTCATCAATCATCGTTGTTTTGAATAGTTGTACCTGTTGGTCAATTAATGTAATATTTCGAAGTTTCGAAAGATAATCTTTTTCTTCAAATTCTTCAAACTTTCGTTTAAGATTAATATTTTCTTGGTTCAGTTCGTTAAACATTAATTGGTGAATTTCGATTGCCTGTTTCAAAATTCGAATATGTTTAGCTTGCTCATTCACTAATCTTTGCAAGTTAATAATATTTTCTTTAATTTGTTCGATTTCTGTTCTTTTGATTTTTTCGAAGTTGAATTCTTCTTCTTTTTGTTTCGCTTCTTTAGGTTTAAATTCTTCTGGTGGAATTTCTTGAATCTCGTCTTTTTCTTGTATATTTCTGCACATGTTACATTTTCCATTTTGTAATAAGTTTGCGGGTGTTTCGTTTTTACAGTGGTTACATTTTGGTGTAATATTGATCATTGTATTGATCATTATTTCTTGTTCAAAGCATTTTTCACAAATATTTCTTTTAAGTTTAATTCTGAGTGTTTCATTTTGGCAGATAACACATGGAAGTGTGCTTTCTTTGTAGCATTCATTGCAAATGTTTTCAATTAAATCTTTTTCATTGTAAGGGTATTGGCATTCAAAACATAGGTCTTTATTTTTGATATCCAATAAAAGTTCTTCATATACTTTGTTTTTTCTAGTTCTCTTTTCCAATTTTTACTATTTAATTCGACAGGTGGTTTATAGTCGAGGTCCATTGTATAAGTTGCAATATCTGCTTCGTTTATGTTCTCCTGAACATTTTTCATTTCTTTTGCTAGATTTTCTGAGTTAACCGGTTCTTCGGTTAAGTCTTCATTTAGAATGATTTTAATGGAATCGTTAAAAATATCTCCATATTCATCATGTGAAGCTGTTTGGTATTCTATTTTCTTGTAATGGGTAATATGCCAATCAACTACATAGTTGATTTCTTTTTCTTGTTAGATTATTCGTTTTTGGTTATAAACTCTAATTTCTTGTTGCTGATAAAGTTGTTCTCCTTCTTCGATCATTAATTTATAAGGCGATTTATTTTCATTTCATTAATAGTTTTGTCAGCATCTACTCCATATCTCGTTCGGTGGTAAATTCTATTCCATCGAGTATAGGTTGGTCTGTCTCTAAGTTCTCCTAGTACCATATATGCAATTTTTTCTTCTAAAGTACATAGGTACGTTCCGGTATTCCAAAGTTGGTAACCTTGTCTTTTTCTGAATGTTCTGCAGCAATATGCACATTTAGTTAATTTGTTAATTCCTTCTTTAGTATAATATTCTTGTGCTTTGGGATCTTCAATATCAAGATATTCATAATGCGTATGGTACACGTTTTACAGAGTAATACTTCTTTGTAATAGGTTGATTCGTTATTTAAGTTTATCACATGGGAATCCGTTAGGGTAAAATGGTCATTCTTTCTAACTGGTCGTTGACAGTTGCAGCAGTGATATGGTTGTCCTTTATGGACTTCGTTGTAGGTTTTATTTCCAATTGTTTCCCAATGGTAGATTCGTAATTCTTTTACTTTT